TTAAGCTGGGGAGGGGTGCAGAAAGAGGGGGTGATAACATACATCAGATGCAGGCAACCAGTGACAGTAGCTCACTGGATCACCTCCTCTCAGCAAAGCACAAACCTAAGGCTCCTGTGCTGATCTTGGATTCGCAGCTTTTAATCCCACCAAATTATGAGTTGTTTCTGCCTAGCAAGAGGACTCCAGGAGAGGAGGTAGTTCTTCATGGGCTCCGGTCCTTCAGATACTGCATTCAGTTAGTGATCGACCAGACCCGGGACCTCCTCTTATAGCTTGCCATTCTGCTATTCTGCACCCTGTTAAACATGCCTGAAGGGAAAGCAAGGCTCTCTGGACTCCAGGGACATCAGCCCGCTGACAAAGCAGTTTGCTACCTTTCCATCAGCTCCAGTGATGCCATGTCCTTGCTTCCCCAGAAGCTAGTCGAACAAATATGCACTTGACAAGCTCTAAGGAAGTCACATAAGACAGTGTTTCTGCTCAAACTGAGTTATCAAGTGATGGCCGCTTTTACTGTGAAGTGCCTGGCACTGCTGCGATGGATTTACCAGATCACTGAAAATTATAACAACAACTCACCCTTGCTGAAGCCAGTCCCCTCTGTGGAGTAACAGTATGACTGTGTGCATGTCCTGCATGAGCCTAACACGCCGTGTTTCTATAGCTCAAACGTCCCAGCTTGAGGGACACCCCAGCACGCCAAGAGCAAAAGATGCACACATACCCCCCTACTCCACAGCTGCCACTACCAGGCAAGAAGGTCACCACCCAGGTCTTACTACAATGCACAACAAAAAGGGAGAAGAGTAGGCAAAGCAGAGCAAATGCTTTTCTATAAAAGGACTGGTGAGTTGTTCATGTCCCAGACCACCGGGCAACAGCAGGACCCCATAAACACCTTAAAATCCCCATCTCTAGATCAGTGGCTCACAAACTTTTTTTTTCCCCCCCTGCAGACCACTTGAAAATTGCTGAGGGTCTCGGCAGACCACGTACGAAACTTCTTTTTGTTCTGCAAATCAAAGCACACAACTCATATTTTAATATCAGTAGTCTTAAGTTTCTAATGCGATGAATGTGCCTGTTTTTTTGAGAACAGATCTGGGAAATTGGGTGTAATGTTTTTCAGCTTTACCCTTAGGTCACCTTTCTGCGGACCACCTGAATGGGGTTCGCGGACCAGAGGTGGTCTGTGGACCAGTTTGAGAACCTCTTCTCTAGATGAACCTCGCCTCCTGGCCTAAACTGACAGCCCCTCCAACCCCCTTTCAAAAGATGCTCAAGACCATTGTTTCCCAGAGTAACTCTTAAGGAAGACCTCCATAATACAATGAGCAGATTGGCCCTGTGCACTAGAAACCAGATGCGCCACACTCCATTGCTATTTAAAAAAAAAAAAAAGCAGCAGTAATCCATATGACCCCAAAAGATCAAGGAGACAAAGGGCCACGCACTGTCCTTTCTGAAAGAACTGCTTGATGGCCCTGCATGGCTCCAGCACCATATTACCCGAGGGCTAGTGTCATACCCCCTTGACCGGTTTCTCTCTAAAAAGGTAGCACTGGATTTGTGATCACTCACTGACAACCTCCATACAGCAAACAACCCCCCACTGACTTATCCATTGTTTGCCGGTCTGGGGATAAGTCTGCTGCACAGCTCTGCATTGTATGTGCTCGCAGACTTGTATGTTTAAGGCAAAACCTGATTGCATCTTCTTAGATTGGGGGTGCCCCATTGCACTCCTGACACCACGCTGATAACATGGATACATGAGCCTAGAACAGGGCATTTGTGAGACCATTCGGAGGCAGAAGCTGTTGTTAGATACTTCCCTCTAGCCCCCAGAAAGGTCAGACACTGCCCCATCAGCATTACTGTATTAAGGGTCTTGCCACTCTGTCGCTCTTGATGACCCAGCACCACAGAGCTGTGTGCAACAAGAGAAAACAGCAGTTTTCTGGGGTAAATAACGGAAGTAAGCCACATAAATGTCACAGCTACAACACTCCAGCTGGAATAACTCAACGTTTTATTACATAATGAATCAAGCATTATGTCAGGACTTGTTTTCACAGACTTTAACTTCATGGGGGTGGAAAGAAACCCACCCCAACATACAGAGAATAGCAGCTTTGGGTGCATTCAGTGGTTTACCCACACTGATTCTGTCAGCTATTTCCCTGTGTGTTAAAAGAAAAGAAGGTAAAAAAAAAAAAGAGGCAAAGAGAAAACAAAACACACTGCAACAATGCAACATAAATTTTTTTTTTTAAGCCCACAAAGCAGCACAAAGATAAGCTAAAACTATTTATAGCATCATAGTAACAATGAGATTCAACACTCAGGACAAAGTCTTGCCAGTTTTATGAGGCATGAAAAATAAAAGGCCCAGTGGATTGCAACTAGCTGTTTTCAAGGGGAAACAGAAATGAAGCAACCCAGTTTCCTCTTAGAAAAGACAGGCCCAAAAGGAAATCCTCTGTTCTAAAAGAGGTGAAATGAAATGGGTACTTCCCACCCAAATGCGGGTTGAGTTCTTTAGTGGTCTCTCTTTCCAAGCTTATTTTACTTCAACAAATCCTACACATTCTGCACTTGGACACACCTGATGTGTGCACAAGTCAGGGTTTTGGCCTATGGGGTACCCTCCATCAGAGGCGCTGAAATGCTTAGTTAGCCCTGCAGCATGGCTCCCGGCTAGGCCAATCCTTCCAAATTGAGTTAAGAAGGTTAGCCGCCCCCCCCCAGGTCAAAGGAGGGTCTTTGGCAAAGCGGAGCACTGAATCCAGACTTAACTCAAGTCCTACACCTTAGCCACAGCATCCGTCAACTCCTCTTCCATTCCAGTGCAATGGGAGTTCACTGCAGTGTCTTTCAAGAGCTCTGCCATGCCAATTATGAAACTCTTCGTTTAGCAGAAATTTATTTTGAACTACCCCTTCTCTCGTGCCCCTCCTAGGGAGGAGGAACGCCAATGCTAAACCTAGAGTTTGCTTCCCTCTCTCTGTACCTGTCAGCAGTTTCAAATGCAGGTTTGCTGACTGAGAGGTTTCAGAGGAAGTGCTTTAGGGGCAGGAAGAACAGACTTTCAAAATGCAGAGAACCCACAAGCTCAGGTCCCACTTGCAAAGGGGTAGGGTGCGCCTACATGTGCTATCAGGACTTGTGGACAGAGGTGATCTCTTTTATAAGATCAACAAGATTTTTTTTTTTTTTTTTTGCAAAAAATCTTTAAGTTGCAAGCTTTGGGGCACAAACACCCTTCATCAAGCATCAGAGAAAAGACTGTAAAAGTTCTCCTGGGTAGAAATGAAAGTTCATATTTCATAGGCTTTCATAGATGGGTCAATAGATGGAAAAAGCTCTGTGGGCAGCAGTTCTTAGCAGGTAAGGAGTCTCAGCTCTCCAGTGAGGCCGTGATGATGAAAATAACCTTAGACAAAGGCTGCTACATGTGCTATTAATTCAAAGTAAGCTTACTGTGCAGCAAAAAATACTGCGCAGTAAGCCTACCCGGGAGCACATCTACACATGGTCCCTCTTGGGAGCAGCATGGTCTGTGCATGCCCATAGCTGCATCTTGAGAGACAGGGGGTGGCTATGCAACCCTACAGCTCTGCACCCATCCCCGCATCCTGTAACCAGGTTTACACCCAGACAGGTGTGTACACCAAGGCACAGGTCTGCAGCCTAACCTTCCTCCCAGCTCCCCCACCAAGTCAGAAAAAAAAATATGCTCATCTGCCTTTAAAAGAATCTGGCACAGAAAGCCTGGCTTCCTGACTACTTTACCCAAAATAACTCTCTCCTCTGCAGCATGCAGCCCCGGGACCCTCGGGATGCCCGGTGGGTACTGTAGTCCTGCCTGCAAAGCGCAGGAATGGCGAGCTAGCGCCAGGGTGCAGCACCCAAGACTGCATCCCCCAGAAGGCACTGCTGGCAGCCCGTACAGACCAGCCGGGATCTCGTCCCCCCCAACCCATGACGAAAAGGGCTGCTTGAACCAATCAGGGAGGGCAGGAGGAATGTCAACAAACAAGGAGCCTTGGAGGCCATGTGATACCACAGACAGAGCAGTAAAACCCAGATAAGCAACAAAAACAACCCTGGGGTGTTAGGTGGCATGACAAGGCAGACAGCGACCCACAAAGCTGTCAGGCTGCTAGAAGAAGCCAGCAGTATGTCTACACTGACTAGGCTCACAAAAGGATGCCATTTTATAGCTGCGAGCCCACTGCCACCAAAAACACCACCGGCAAAACAGGCAAAAAAACCCCCAAAACTTGCCCCAGGAGCAGTTAGACAGCCAGAGTGGCTCTTTATTATAAAGTCCATGCAAAACTTCACTGGATAAAAACTGAAAACAGTCCCTTAAGGTCAAGACTTGCATTGCTATAGGGCGATCTTTAAAACTGACCTTGTAAAAAAATAACCCCCCGCCTTCTCCCTCTCCCCCCGCAGGAAAACCACAGCCAGCTAAAAATACAGGTCTGTTGCAACGGGTTACCACACACTGAAACCCACAGGGACCCAGATAAAGTGTAAATAAAAATCTCCGCCGAGTGGCAGGTAACAAAAGTCAGATATTTTTATAGCCGGGGTAGGTAAACTACAAACTATTGTACGATTAAGAGGAGGGAACGCATCTGTGCAGGCATCCCAACCTGAACTACTAGCAGTGTACACAAGTCCTCCTTTATTGATCACTGCTAATAATGCTACAAGACACCAATCCGGCCACCCCAAACTGCACTGCACCCAGGGGAGTTAGCAAAGCAGAGTCCCCCCGCCAGAAGTCAGGAGAGTTTTGTGGGCTAGGATACAATTACATGCAAGGTCTTGCTCAGACACACTCATACATTCCTCTAGCATATAAAGGGGGACTCTTCCCAAAAACCATGTAGTACAACATCTGTTAAAAGTGCAAGCACCACCCTTTTTAGCTCACCTCCCAGCCCCAACTCAAAAACATGAACCCTATTTAGATGCATTACCTGAAAGTCATACAAGGCAACGATGTTTTCATGTTTCAGCTCCTAGGGGAAAAAAAACCGCAAGAGGGGAAATGATGAGCCAGGAACAAGAGAGGATCCCTAGCAAAAATTCAGAGGGTGGTTATGAAACACCTGGTGCTGCATTTACCTTAAGGATTTTGATTTCCTTCCCCAACAGAGTTTGCGACTTTGCAAGGTTTTTCTTGTTAATACATTTCACGGCTACTTCCACCTCAGGCTTCTGAAAGTTAAACATTTACGTAAAAACAAATAAGCAAAGTATACATTTCACTCTTCAGTCCCTTTCCCAGGTTACGATTATGCCCAACATAAGGGTCACCCGGCGCATACTTGACATCCGCAACCCACCACCTAGACTTGCTCGGACTTGCCCTTTCCCGAATGACGCTTGTCAGCTCCGAAAAGACAAACAAAACAAATAAAAACCACAACCTCCAAGGTCTGGATTTGGGTTACTACTTTACACAACAGTGATCCTCTTATGGGAGCAAATAAAGGCCTCCTTGGCAGCAGGGCTTTAACGAAGAAAAGCCCAACGAGGGGCCAGCTTGCTCCTATTCAGCAGCCCCAGACAAAAACCCGGTGACCTCTCAAGACATTGGTTTCAAAGTAAAGAGGCTCCGGGCCCAATTTCGGCCTGGAGGACAGGCGACCCGTGGGACGCCGGTGTACGAGGGGTTCGCCACTGCATCCCGGCGCTGGCTTTTCAGCCCCGCTTTCCTCTGGGAGACCCTGGGGGCACCCCAGGGCGAACCCCAGTGGCTCCGCAACTCTCCAGGGAGTCGGGCGAGCGCCGCCGGGACGTGCCCCCGGCACGGGACCTCACTCACCTCCTTGTGCCGGCCTTTGAAGACCACGGCGAAGGCGCCGTGCCCCACCAGGTCCTTCCTGCTGAACTCAAACTTGCCCACGGTCTCCATGGCTGGGCGCGGCGCGGGCAGCGAAGCGTCCTGGGTGGGCGGCAGGATGCGGCCCGCAGCAGGGGTAGGGGGGCAGGCGCAAAGGAGACCCCGGCCCCCCCCTCCTGGAGCCGGATCAGGAGCTGGCGCCCCGCTGGAACAGCTGCCTGCTCCGCATCTGGCGGGCGGCGCACATCTGGCAGGAGGCTCCCAGCCGCTCCGCTTGCCTTTTCCTGGAGGACGGGCGGGACGCGGGCATCCTCAGCAGGGAAGGAGCCGGCTCCCTGGCTAACAGGCCTCCTGCCCCATCCTTTGAGGGAGCTCCCTGCGCGCCCCCAGCCGAGTCCCCCGTCCAAAAATAACCGACTTCCACCTTAAGCACTAGTCCACCTTAAATAAGGCGCCTTAAGCCCCTGGAACACGGGGGGGGGAGGGCGCGGGGCGCTGCGCGGCGACGCGATGCGGGAGCCGGCGCCGCACACAAAGCTCTGCGGGCTCCCGACGCAGGACGGCGAGCGCTGGCGCAGGCGCACTGGGAGGCGGCTCCAGCCTAGGGCTGAGCTGACACATTTAAAGGCGCAGCCCTGCCGACTCTGAATCACCCCTCCCGGGGCGCGCGCGGCCCCGCGCCAGGGGCGCCCGCCCCTGCGCCCAGCACCCGCACAGCCTTCCGCGGGCACTTCGTCTTTGCCCAAAACGTGCCGGGGGGAGAAAGCCCAACGCTGCTCTGGGCGCTTGAGCAGCCTGCCCCACTTGCCTCCAGCTCCCACCCGCCTTGGGGGAGGCTGAGCTGAGGTGTCTGGGGGGAAATCTGGGACATTTACCACCCTCCTCCTGGGAGACTTTCCCTCATCTCTCACTGAAACTCCCACCCGGCCTTCGGGACAGCGGATCTCTTTTTGGGGGGAAATCTGGGATATTTAGTATAGCATAGTACGGAAATCTGGGCTGTTTACCATCCTCTTCCTGGGGAATTTTCCCCTCATCCCTCACTAAAACTCCCACCCAGCCTTTGGGACCGCTGATTTCTTTTTTGGGGAAATCTGGGATATGTAATGTAATGTAATATGTAAATCTGGGATATTTACCACCCTCCCCCTGAGGAATTTTCCCCTCATCTCTCACTAAAACTCCCAACCAGCCTTTGGGACCGCTAATCTCTTTTTTGGGTATATGTGGGACAAAAGGAAATCTTTCCTGCCAGGTGCAGGGGGCTGGACCTGATGAGCTCCCGAGGTCCCGTCCAGCCTTGCAATCTATGAATCTACGAAATGCAAAAATCTAAAACTCTTGGTTCACAGATGATACCTGTTATTAGATCAACTAAGACATCGCCAAAAATAAACCTTTCTGCAAGCTTTCGGGCTCGCGCGCCCTTCCTCAGGCTCAGGAAAAATTAAAGATGCTAAAAAGTCCCCATAGGTAGAAAATAAACTTCACTTTTGCACTTATAAAATGAAGTTTATAAAATGAAGTTTATTTTCTACCTCACTTCTTGCACTTATAAAATGAAGTTTATAGAGGAGACTAGACTGTCACCTTGCTGGGGTCACCTGACCCCCCATTGTCTTTTCAGCTTGGTGCAGGGGGCTGGACCGATGATCTTCTGAGGTCCCTTCTGGCCTTACAGTCTGTGAAAATGAAGTTTATTTTCTACCTCACTTTGCACACATAAAATGAAGTTTATAAAATGAAGTTTATTTTCTACCTACAGGGACTTTTTACCATCTTTAATTTTCCCTGAGCCTGAGGAAGGGCACGTGAGCCCAAAAGCTTGCAGAAAAAGATCTTTTTTGTTTGTGATTTCTTAATTGGTCTAATAGCAGGTATCATCTCTGAACCAAGAGTTGTATACTTTTGCATTTCTTTTTGTCTCAGACCAACACAGTGACCAAATACGTCCCAGATTTACCCAAAAGAGATCAGCTGTCTCAAAGGCTGGGTGGGAGTTTTAGTAAGAGATGAGGGAAAGTCCCCCAGGAGGAGGGTGGTAAAGCGCTGGAAGGGGCTACCAGAGAGGTGGTGGGCTCTCTCCACCCTTGGAGGTTGCTGGCAGACAAAGCCTTGTCTGCGATGATCTAGCTGGGGCTGGGGCTGGGGCTGGGGCTGGTCCTGCTTGGAGCAGGGGGTTGGATTAGACCCCCTGAGGTCCCCTCCAATCCTTATTTTCTATGTTTCAGTAGCAGGAGGTGGGCAAGTAGCCCTTGCCAAGCAGGCGGAAAATTTCCAACCGTTTTGAGCTTTTTTTTGAATTTCCCCTCTCAAAACATCTTCTGAAGCCGGGAAAAATGGTAAAAAACCAGCCTAATTCCAAGGGGAAGGGGAACATTGATCCTTCCCCAAATGGAATCAGCTGGAGGACTGAGGCCCTTCCCTGCCTGTGAAACAGCGGTGAGTTCAGGTGCTCTGCTTCTCCACTCGCCAGCTCAAGGCACGACTGCCTCCAACACTGCCAGTCCCAACCACTTGCCTGTTTTCGCCTACCTGGGAACAAATATGGGTCACCTGCATACACAGCATAAATCTTGGTTAAACTGCTTTCCTGTGCTGCCTCCTTCAGCCCCACTGCCTGCTTTGTAATGGAAGCGTACCCCGCTTAGCTGTGTCCTAACCAGAAGAGTCAGTTTTGGACATTACTGCAGCCCCAACCGGAGCCAGAAGTAAAGCAAGCCGCTGTCAGAGCTCCTTGAAAGTGATGGTAGCTGGCGAGCTCCTCCGCACTCTCCCCTCTTCCTTTGGGACTTCTGATAGCAACCCTCCAAAAGCCTTCAAAAGGGAGGGAGCTAATCAGGACTAGCACTGACATCACTGTGTGCTTAAATCGGTGCTGTTTGTATTCGGTCCAGATAAGTGCATACCCCTTTTGCAGTCCCAAAGCCGTGCACTCAGATGAAGTATGTGAATAATCAAGCCTTCATTAACCATCGTATGCATATTCCCAGCACAATCCCACTGAAGAGTCCTGAACGCCATTCTGGAGTGCCAGGTATACATCCCACAAGCACTGCTTTCAATATGGCGTTGTGAGACGAGCTAGTGTGGAGGGATGCAGTAATACACTATTAAGAACTGCATTAGGAGCAATGAAGTAAAAAAAATTGCACGAGGTTGAGATTTCAGCATTTTTTTTTGGAGACAAGATGGCGATGTGACGGTGCATTGGGATATCGTGTGAGCACAGGTCTTAGGATGCCGTGTGAATGGCAGACATGTCGCTGAGTGCTCTCAGCCCTGGGATGCTGAATATCATCATTGATAGTCACTGGATACAGCAGAAGTTGCGAGCACGCAGTACCTCCCAGCACTGGGCCTTGTGTGACACAAAGGTACTCTTTATACGCAGATGACTTTGATAAAGCATGCGGCCTGAAGTGAGGAGACATTATCTTCCTGCTGTACTGCACGAGATAATTCAGATCCCTCCTTGTGCTTAAAATCATTGCTGCAAAGTGGGGGCATGTGGCAAGGCCAGGTACAAAAGCAGAAGCTGATCATAAATTATAACTTGCATTTCGTGACTTCTAGTATTGTTACTAAATGTTTAATGGGAAATTACAAGGTGGATCAGGATACTCTTTTAAATGTAAGCTTCGTAATGATTCACCCTCTGAAACCCTTTCAACCAGAACAATGCCAACAAGCTCTGGTGATGTCAGTGTTGCCAAACGAAAACATTAAAAAAAAAATCCTGAGATTAGGTTAAATATAACAAAGTTCGGGTTCTTTTTATTTACTTTCTTGTTTTGGATCCTACAGGGTGCCCTTGCTTCACAGTGTCAAGCTTTTCCCTACAACCGGTGAGGTCTAGAAACTTACTTTAAAAGCCTCAGAGTCTCATGCAGCCTCTTGATGGCAAGCAGCTAGGTTTGAACAAAATCAGCTCACAATAAGATGGTGAGATTTGGCCAGCGATACAGAGAGGCGTTTTTAAACTCACCATTGAAAGAGGTACTTTGGACACAGAACAAAGCAATTGTTGCACAGCAGCGCCGTGCAAAATTATAAGATAGGGAGCAAAGAAAAATGCTCAGTTAGCTACTACCTGGATAATTTGAAGGTTGGTAAAGTATAATTGCCCACACTGGAAATTAGCCAAGACATCCTGGTTAACAAGTCTGCACTGGCAAGAAATGTGGTAGGATCCCCTGTGACCACAGTTGGGTAGATCTTCCATTTTTATGTCTCATGGCAAAGACATATGCAATTACATTATAAAGAAAATGAGGAAGTTTATGCCAGCACGATATAAAAGCTGACATGAAATATAATAGTCTTCTTTTGCTGGTGCTTTTGAAAGAAATTTTAGTTTAATTGAGCTCTCTTTCAGTCCTAATATGTAAAGACTAAGATTCATTAGGCTGCTTCCTCTTAGACGGTAGCGATTTCAGGGTTGCACTTGAATTGCAGTGACCCTCACAGGCCTTTCTAAGGACTAGGATCCTGTTTTGCCAGGCACTGCACACAACTGAGACAAGATCCATGTTGACAGCACAGGCCAATCTTTTTAGCAGATGTACCACAAATTAAGCCCCACTCCCTTCCTGGATACCAATTCTGATCCCCTTCCCTTCTCAATTTGCTGCATACCTGATCTGCTGCTCTGCTTTCTGCCCTCCATACTCTGGTGCATACCATGCAAAGAAACTACCTGTGCTACTTGCAACAGGAATGCGGCAGGTTGGCCACCCTTGTAGGACACTGCTAAAAATGACCTGCTTAAGGATTACCTGAGAAACAGGAGCAAGCATACTGCTTAAAAACTGACCCAAGGATGCTAAGCAAAGAGTAATGATAAAAGCAGTTTAACACATTGTGAAATCTCTATGGGAAAGAATCGTTCCTTAGAGATCTGGGAAGGGGGAAGAACTTGTTAGCTAAAGGTGTGCTTTTTCAAAGCACTCGGCTCTGGTCTCCTGTGGAAATCCACCATGTAAGAGCTGGGTATTATCAGATCTGTTACTGCAGAGACTGTAGTGGGACCAGAGCTTGGCCAACATGGAGTGCATTTGAAAATTCACCCCACCATCTCCATGTTTGTAAGTAATATAAACTGGCAAGAAAAATGCCTACTAAGTGTATGCTAATGCACAGTTCTCACTCAGGAAAGGGCAGAAAAAGCAAAGTTACCAGCACAAAAGCTTACAAATGAAGCTTCCTTGGAAGAGCTTTCTGACAGCGTCACTCACACACACCGGACACAGAGGTCCCCTGAGACCCCTTAGTGGAATAATCTTTTAATACCACTATTTTCCACTAGCAGTTCAGTTTGCAAGATACCATTACACTGATAGGGAGAGTCCATACCTTGCACTCCAGGAATTTAGGTTGCGTCCAATTATTCTCTCTTCTGAATACAAGTTTTTATTAGGCATACATTAACATGGCACTGGGTCATTTCCATTCACGGAGATTGGAACATCTCACCCTGAACTAATGGCACAGAACACTTTAGGCTAAAGGCACCTGATATTCCTCAATTTGTTAAGCACACTCACAAATCAATGAGTGATGTAATGGATG